GCTGCACAAGAATTGCGTAATAAGCTGTTAATGCTGTATATATAGTTAACCCTCAGCGCGCATGCGCAGCGAGGGTTACTGTAGTTGGGGTGTCTGTTACTCTCAATCTCACTTCTCGGGTGTTTGTTCGTCTCACAAAGGATACGACCTACTTAATCCGGCGCCGTATTCGGGGCATAGTTTCCGGATCGGGGCAGCGACGTCGGCTGCGGCGGCAGGAATAGAAGACGCGGTCATCAAGATCTTAGGCAGATGGTCCAGCTCCGCGTATCTGGCATACGTGCGCATCCCACGCAGCGACCTCTCGGGAGTGTCGCGCAGAATGGCGGCGTGAAGGTTTTTGTATAATATACTTACCGGTCCTAGACACATTTAAATTATTGTGTTTCTCGATATTTATGTATAATTATATTACGTACGGTATATATACACGGCGCTTGGAGGAGTGACGCTTCGTGTCACCCTTGGGAGCATTTATGGCCAAAGGCCACTAATTTACGGACCTCCAAGCGCATGGGAGTACAAATACAACCCGGCAGCCTTAGTCATGGGGGGTTGGCCTTTTGGACGCGGAGGCCCGGCAGTGTGTTAGGTACGCATGCGCAGAAAATACTTATCATTGCCTGGGCGGCGCATGCTCCCGACTACCTCCATCTGTTCAATTGTAGGCACTAGCTAGAAAAGCACGCCTGGCAGAGCTACGTGAGACACTCCTAATTGGAAATGTGGGTGGGCGCAATTTGGAATAGAGCATAAGGCACGTATTTTCACTAATGTACATTCTTATTGGCTTTTGCACACATTTTTGAATGATATCTAGCTCTGCTTCTACTTTCATATTGACACATTGTTCTGCACGTTTGAGAGTATTTTTGCGTTGTAACTTCGGAGCATTTGCTCGTTTTTCTCATAAGTTCTTATTGGCTTTTTCACGTTCTACGTTTATCCAGCTCATACTGATTCTGCGTTCATATTTCATGTTCTCCTGCGTTTTCACACAGTTATTCTATTCCATGTCATTTGATCATAACATACCTACCAACCTGCAGATGAACCTCTGCTTGAGAAATGTGGCAAATTTGCTTGATTTGGAGTAATAATAATAATACTCAGGTGGCTGCCATAGCACTAGGGCCATAGACCACGCACCCAGAGCAATGGGCGGAACCGTTAACACACGAACATACACCATATGAACATGAGGTGTCTGTCTCACCTCCCAGACACCTCAACTCACCCCTTCCACCAGCGACACCCTGCAGCTCCCCAGACGCAATCTGAGACTGGGTTTGTTGTACGCGGGGACTATCGCCGTATAACCTAACCTTTCTTAGCTCCCAAACATCCAAAATAAAATCTTTAACAAGGCCAAGCAAAGAACCAAAATTATCCTCCCACAGTTCACTACCCAATATAAAGGATGCTTTCCTGAAACTATCAAGCGACTGGAAATGCTCAAACCCATCATCCCCAAGCTTCCCCTGCAGGGCAACTAAGAAATTGCTCCTAAGACTACTATATGCTGGACACTCCCACAACACATGACTCACACTTTCACACTCATCATCACACAACAGGCACTCTTTCACCCCCTCCCTCCCCCTATGCCTGCCCAGTTCCTCATTTAGCCCATGCGTGCCTGACCTGAACTTTAACATTAATCTAGACCCAGAATCACTTTTCCCACGCAAGTACTTTTTGAACTCTACCACCTTGTTAAATGTCTTATACAATAACAGCTTTACTTTGCTATTTAGCCCCTCTTCAAACTTTCTAATCTCCCTCTCATTAATACTGTCCCCTATTATAGACAAAAAACCCTTCAAGGAGCAATCCCCATTTTGAATATCATGCAATCACTCTGCCTTGTCAAGACCTAATGACGAAAAGAGATCATCAATGACCTTACTCCAACCTTTCCTCTGCCTGCCTCTCCGTGGCTTAAAATTCCATTCCTGATTAAAAAGCTTCTTCGGATACCTATTGCCTGGCAATGCCGCTAACTTATACCACCACTTCAACTTATTCTTATCCCTACGCCCTTGTAACGTATCAAGCCCCATATCCCCCTGACGGCTTCATTACATGTCTTAGACGAACACCCAAGAATGCGCTTAGCTTCTCCCAGCATAATGGACTCTAATGCAGCTGCCTGAGTCTTATTGGCTTCCCACACCTCACCCCCATACTCTAAAGTTGGCCTAACCACCGCCAGCAACAACAACCTGCGAGCACTCAAATTAATATCCCTATTACTAATTACACTATGCAACTGATTAACCTTCCTTCTACCATTGTCTAACACATTCTTGATATGCACATCCCATGCACCAGTATTAGTATAATCAACATCCAAGTATGTGTATTTAGATACTCTAGGCAAAACATACTCCCCCCATTTCCAAGCACCATCCCCTAACTCCCTAGCGAACACCATCACTGCACTCTTACTCACATTAGCCTTTAGCCTCCATTTTCGACAGTAGGCTTGCACCACATCTATAAGCGTCTGTAACTGATCCTTAGACTCACTAACACCAACGAAGTCATCTGCAAACAAAAGTCCTCCAAGTCTCCCACCACTACTTAAATCGATTCCAATCTCAGCTTCCTCCACCTCCCTCAACAACCAATTGATAAATACGGAAAACAAAATTGGAGATAAGCTACATCCCTGAGCTACCCCCTGTTCCACATCAAATGCCTCTGACCGTTCCCCATCCAACAATACAGCACTCTTTGAATACTCGTACATCTTCTTTATGACCCTCCACATCTTCCCTCTTACCCCAAATTCCCACAACTTAAACCACAGGCCGTTACGCCACACACTATCGTGTATGCCTTCTGCACATCTAGAAAGAATGCATATGTCTCCTTCCCCTCCTTTAGTCTACCCTGCACGAGTTCATTCAGCGTATAAATATTATCAACACAACCCCTTCCAACCCTAAAACCAGCCTGGCCCTCATGCAATGCTTTTCGCCCTCGTCCAGATGCTTCACCAACCTATTGTTCAATACCTTACAAAAGACCTTCCCAACCACACTCAGCAGAGTGATGCCCCTATAATTCCCAGGATCCTCCTTATCTCCCTTCTTAAACAGGTTAACTATGAGGCCCTCCCTCCACTGTGGTGGCACAAACTCCTCACGCCAAATTACTGTAAACAACTGTTTAAGTAACTCTACCATCCCTGACCCACCACACTTTAGAAGCTCCCCCACAAGCCCATCATTACCACACACACAACTCCCCTCCAATACAATTTCCACACAATTTGCTGGAAGGTTAGAAAACTCACACACTTTGTTATCCACTTTCTCAACACTACAGGTGCCCAAGTGCTGATGATGCTTCTTTAACACTTCCACTTGTACTAGTCACTGACACCCCAGCACTATTCCTCAAAGCTGTTATCGCATTCCTCTTACCCTTTGTCCTTCTACCAACAAATGCCCAAAATTCTTTCCTATTACCTTCAAAATCTAAATTTGCTCTTTCCACTACCTCGTTCCAAACCTCAAGCTTCTTCTGAACAACTAAATTCTTCACCTTCCTACGCAGTTTACTATATTCCTCCCATAGATAATCCTGACCCTCAAGAATTTTCTTGTAAGCCTCCCTTCTCTGCTCTATCTTATGCTTAATCTCGTCATCCCACCACCTGACTGCCCTGCCACACACTACTACCTTCTCTCCTACCTCAGCCTTTGCCACTTTTTTTACAACTTGCTCCCACTCCTCTACAACTGCACTGACTAACCCACTTCCACTAATACCCTCACTCACTTTCTCCCTGATGCTCTCTGAAAAAGATTCAACCTCCGCTTTCAAGGCCTCCCTATACTTCGTTCTAACCCCCTCATCCAAAAATCTGTCTACACGCCACGTCCTTATTGTCCGCTTTCTGCCTTTTACAACACTTCGTAACCCGGCCCACTCCAGCCACACTAGAAAATGATCCGAGGCACCAATATCAGTTATATTAACCTGTACATCACCGGATTCCCTCATCACTGCATATCGTAACTATATAATCTATCACTGATTTCTGCTGCAGGCTCGGCCTTACTCTAGTCCACTCAGGCTCCGACACTAACTTCCTACCATTACATATCACCAGCTCCACCTCATTCAAGAATGAAATCAGCCTATTTCCACTGGCATTACAAGTCTCCTCCCCCCAAACATCCCAATGACATCATCACCATCAGTAGATCTACCCACCCTCGCATTAAATCACCAAGAAGAACAACCCTCCCCTTCTGCATGAATCCAAGCACATCCTCCTTAAACTTGATGTAACTATCCTCCATAACAGAAGCACAAGCATTATCTGTAGGCATGTAAATGCAGCACACATACAATGCTCTCCCTCCCTCTCCCACCTCGAACCTTCATCCACACGCTCTCCTTATACCTGACTTTACTTACAAACTCTACCTCGTCTATCAAGCACTCCCGAACCAAGAACCCAACCCCTCCTTCCCCTATACGACTACTCTGAGTCTCACGAGGCTTTCCAAACATCTATAGCCATCAACCGCAACTGCCTTTCCCTCCCTCTCCCAAGATTCCTGACCAGCTACTACATCAATCTTGAGCCTTTGCAAAAGCTCCCCTACCTCTCTCTGTTTACGCTCACTACAAAGGCCTGAAAATTCCATGTAGCGACCTCTTAGCCTTCTGTCCTTTTTACCTTGGCCACTCATCCTCTCACTAACACGGAAGCTTC